GGTATAGAGTTCATACTTATTCCTTCTATTTCTGACACTAACCAGTAGGTACTGTTTTCATCGAGCAATTGTGATATCCGACATGCGTTCATACAATGCACTGCATTGGGTCTTCAATCTATTATCCGATAATATTATATTGGTAGAATAATATTCTGCAATTTTTTTTTTCAGAAAAGGGTTTACAAATATTCATAATCTGATGAGTAATGATGGAGAATGCCTTTTAACCTTTCTCGCATATTCGCCAATATATAGTTTGTTCGAAGGACTCAAAGACTCCCCCAAATGGACTGCATGGCTTAAGGATTTCAATCTATTCGTTTCGCCTTATCATGACTGTATGGTATTAATACTTTTTTTCTTTAAATTTTACAGCGTTGTTCTATCTGTGATCTATGTTGAAAATAAATTACCTACTTAGAGCTTACCGTAATGAATAGTTTGTTACAGTAGTGTCTTTACTTATTTTCTTTTTTGTTAAATGTTTATTGGAGCTCATGGACATCAATTACAACATCAATGCCCCACGCAGCTTAAGACACGAGGTCGAAGTCTCCCACTCTTCAAACCGAGATGCGTGATTATTTCGCCGCCGAAATAGGCAGAACGGTGATACCTTCCTGTGTAGGCTTTCCACTAGCCTCAGCCTCTAGTACCAGCACTTCCACAGGTTTTTCTTTATACGCCGTTATCCCTTAATTGTGGAAGCTACTTCTGAACTTGAATGAAGTACTATTTCTCTAGAAAACTAGGTTTCAGGTATCAGTGCAGGATTTGAATACCTGTTTTGTTACTTCGTTTGATACGGATAGACATAACGTTTTTTCCTTTAGGCTACGACGAATTGAAATGTATCAACGGTTTTATAATTATTTTTTCCTGGTGGTTTAAAGATTTAAATCAATTTGTTTCGCCTTATAGTGTGGTAATTGTAATTTTATTTCAAATATATTAATGTCATTGTATTCACGGATGACTTCCGCTATGGAAGCATTGCCTTGTGTAGTAAAGTAAAATCCGGAGATTTAAATAATTACAGGGACGTCTTAAACTAGTCTGGGGCCCTTGGGCACACAATAATTTGAGGCCCTTTTGGAAAGAAAAAAAAACGAATTATAATAACATTTTTTTGACATTTTATTATAGGTAATCAAATACAGTATGATATAATATGTCATTAATGATATTAGAATGCTGCTGGTTTTTTGGTTACGATTACGATAACGGTTTCTTTCGGGACTTCTGTTGAGCAAAATCTTCTATTATATAATAGAAGAAGCTTAAGAGAATAAAAAATGAATTGCGAACAACAATGTTACAAGAACGGCTGAGTAATTTGTCAATTATGTGCAAGTGATATCCTTCAAAAAATTTACTTTAAAGATATCTTTAATTGCGTGAGTGATCGCTAGATGGTGTACTTAGTAAATTAGGTAGGATGCGTTCGGAAATATTATTAATTAGTACAGTAGGAATAGGCGCAGTCATCGATATAATGGCGTAGTATATGCCTTGTGATAAGATTACTGATTTGTGAAAAAAGTGCCTGACAAAAATGTTTTGAGAATAAATGTGTGAGAGAAATTCTCGGTCCTTCGGGGTCCCCTGAGAATGGGCCCTGGGCACAGGCCCCGTGTGCCCTTATGGTAAAGACGGTATTGAATAATTTATTGTTATTTGATTGATTTGATTTGAATTTATTGATTAATAATTGATAGTTATTTGTTCATTTCAAAAATGTTCAGTAGATACTAACTTCATATTATTGAATTTTGATTCAAAAAAGGCTTTCTGATACTTAGAAATTGCCTTTATATGAATGTCCCACGTGCGACTACACAGGAATTTATTTTTATCTCACTGTTCGTTGACACATCGATAGGCGAAGAGGAGAAAATTATTACTAAGACTCTGATTAGTACCATTTATTTGGAAAACTAAAATGTTAATGTGTTTTTCGATATTAATGTTTTAAAAAACCGGGAATGCTTTTGTCGTATGAACTATATACTTAATTAATTACTTACACTGGTTTCAGGAACCGGATCGTGTTATTGAAAAACTGTTTAAGAAAATTGGCTTTCGATTCATAGATGTTCGTTCCAGACAAAAGAAATTTGTATACAACAAGATATCCGATTTCAAAAGTAGGTTGATACTTGTTTGCTTAAAATTGTTTTAGTCGAAATTAATTTGTTATAAATTATGTTTTTTATGATATTCTATCTTATAAACAGAGTAACGTCTGTTGGTTACTACGTCTAAATTAACATACATGATAAATTGTAAGTTAATAATGAATTAATTATGTAATCCATAATATGCTTAGAATGTTTTTTATTTTTCCAAATGAAAATTAAAAACATGCCAAATAAATAGTTTTAGTAAGGATCTATATTGGGAGGATTTATATCAGTAATGAGAAACGAACAACGAATTTAAGTTAGTGCTCCTGCCGTGAGATATGATGTCGAAATATCGATTTTTCTGGAATACTTTGCTAAGCAGGATTCCATTTTCCATCCAAGTGTAATTACGCAGGGTATTGGTGGATACGAACAAACCCACAGGCATAGAACAGGCGGCGTCAACAGCAGCAGAAGTAGGTTTAGTGGTCTCGTAAGTAAGTTTATTTATTTGCACTTGATGTTAGGTAGTGATCGGAGCCCGTAGACACCATAACGTCCACGCCTCACCTGGAGACATGAAGTCGATGTTTGAATTGTGTCACGGCTGATCCACTTTTTGATCTACTACTACTACTTTTTGAACACTTTTTGATCTACAAGAAGTAGGATGATAGTACTAATCCTGTGGGCTAACCGTATACCTTACCACCACATTGCAATTAGACTTCTTTAAATGACTTTTACAATCATTGTACAAAATTAAATGATGATTGAGTTTTATAATTTTTGAAATTCAAAGATTTTGCTGCGAAATAAGCACGAGATTAAACTTCATTTTTATCATTTTTTAATAATTTGTGAAGCCTGAAAAAATTCTACTACATCTATGATAGCGATTAAGTTTATTTTAGGTTTTGTTAGTGTAATATGATAGAAAACTCGGTTTGCAACAGCTGAGGTAACTTCCCAAATGTTTGTTTGAAAATCAATTATCAATAGATCCAATTTCAATGAGGTATTAGGATTTAACAATNGTGCTCCTGCCGTGAGATATGATGTCGAAATATCGATTTTTCTGGAATACTTTGCTAAGCAGGATTCCATTTTCCATCCAAGTGTAATTACGCAGGGTATTGGTGAATACGAATAAACCCACAGGCACAGAACAGGCGGCGTCAACAGAAGCAGAAGTAGGTTTAGTGGTCTCGTAAGTAAGTTTATTTATTTGCACTTAATGTTAGGTAGTGATCGGAGCCCGTAGACACCATAACGTCCACGTCTCACCTGGAGACATGAAGTCGATGTTTGAATTGTGTCACGGCTGATCCACTTTTTGATCTACTACTACTACTTTTTGAACACTTTTTGATCTACAAAAAGTTGGATGATAGTACTAATCCTGTGGGCTAACCGTATACCTTACCACCACATTGCGATTAGACTTCTTTAAATGACTTTTGCAATCATTGTACAAAATTAAACGATGATTGAGTTTTATAATTTTTGAAATTCAAAGATTTTGCTGCGAAATAAGCACGAGATTAAACTTCATTTTTATCATTTTTTAATAATTTGTGAAGCCTGAAAAAATTCTACTACATCTATGATAGCGATTAAGTTTATTTTAGGTTTTGTTAGTGATATGATAGAAAACTCGGTTTGCAACAGCTGAGGTAACTTCCCAAATGTTTGTTTGAAAATCAATTATCAATAGATCCAATTTCAATGAGGTATTAGGATTTAACAATTAACACATGCGTGCATTTGGATTTAGTTACTTTGTGCTGTTGTATCCTTAAACACACTAACTTTTCCCCTTCCAGTTACAGCGTCAGCAATAAATCCCTTCAAAATCCCGGAACATATGCTAGAAGAATTTTTGAACGACCTTATGGAAGTGGGAGAAGGAATGGGAATAATTGATAAAACAAAAAATACCGTTAATATGTTATATAATTTGCTTATAGTACACGGTAGAAAATAATTTCTGAATTAAGTTAATTTAGAACTCTAATATAGTCAGGGTTAACTTCTAGGGGTGAGAAAAAATAGTTTTTGTATGATTACGAGCTTTTTAGGTAACGGCTAAATATAAAATAGGTAACAATTTTTAAAATGAATTTATCACGATGAATTGTTTTAATATACTTTAAGAAAGTTTTCCCCTAGTTTCATTTATTATAAAATTTACATTTAAATTTTACCATGTTAATGATTTTTTTATGCGGACCGCTTAAGCTGTACAGCATCCCTACTGGCATTGTTATACCAGGGTCTGTCGCGACCCTCGACGGACACCTCAGAGGAGGGAATAAACAATTCCATCTTCTGGAGCACCACGTCTTTAAGACGGTCTGCACAGACGTCAGGATCAGCAGAGGAAAAGCAGAACCGCCCCCATGGGTAGGATGCGTAAAATTCACGCAATCCATCCCAATCTGCTGACATATATTGCCAAACTCTTCGATACCCGGTCGTCGTTTGACGATCAGGACGAGAGAGTGGTATGACAGCACGGATAAGGCAGTGATCAGACGACCAAGGCAGAGCGTTCGGCACCACACTGTTTCCGGCTGGATCGGTGGTCAGCAGAAGGTTCAACAGAGAAGGCTCGTGACCCTCAATCTCTGGGACACAGGTGGGCTGTGTCACCAGCTGGGAGAAGCCGTAGGCCAGGGCGAAATGGTAGGCAGCCCGATCCGGGAGGTCAGTGGTTCTGGACCGCGACCACTCTTGGTGGTGACCGTTAAACTCTCCAAGAACCGCTACCTCCGCAGATGGATACTGCTCAAGCACGCGGTTAGTCCCCTCTTGCACATGTTCTATCAGAGCCGAACCTGCATCACTGCTGTGGGACCTGTCCAGGCACGCGTAGACTAGGGTACAATCTCGGTGATCTACGCGCAGCCACAAGAGGGACAGGTCCCGTTGTTCGAGGCCTCGTATACGGCGACAACAGACATCAGTCCGGACGAATACACACACCCGGGCTTTACGTAGAAAGTTGTGCTCCAATCCGTAGCCGGGGTATTCAAGGTACGAAGTATCATCCGGAGCAGATATCTGCGTCTCCGTCAGAAAAAGTAGGGCCGATAGGATGGTGGTGTACGGCGTCGAGGTTGCTATGTAGGCCCCTAACATTGCTGAAATCCACATTAAATGTGGAATGGGGAATCGGCGACAAAACCTTTTTCTTTTTTCGAACTGTAATAAATTTTTTTGAGTTTGGTTGTGTGTGTGGTAGGATTAGAGGCGAAATCATGACAATACCTGAATAAAGCGCGGAACACAATACGTGCTCGACCGCGTATTGCGTGAGAGACTGACGCAGGACATGGAAGGGCCCCCAGTCCAACCTGCGTGCGATCGCCAGGATCCACTCCGGTCTCCGACTCCGGCACGACGAGCACACAATGTTCAATTTACAAACACATAAAAATGCTGTAGAAAACTATTGTGCAAAAAAATTATATAAAAAATTTAATTTCATACCTAGCTACTCGTCCGGTTTGGAAGGTTATGGGAGGCAGGGGTTAAGAGTTTAAAATTCCATTTAAAGAGAGTGTTGGTAATCTTTGTGTTAGCTATGAAGGTCTTAAATTAAGACTCTTAATACAGTAATTATTGAAATTGAAGCAATTCTTAATTCAAGACCTTTGCTTTCCATGTCCTCAGATGTTTCTGATACAGGCTACTTGACCTCTGGTCATTTTCTTATTGGCTCGGCAATGATTTCCTATCCGGAAGGAGACCTTTCTAAAGATAATCGCTTAAAATTTTGGAATGTTTTAACAAATTTTAAACAGGACTTCTGGAAGGCATGGTGAGAGACTATCTCACTCTATTCTAGAACAGACCAAAGCAATAAAATAAAAAAAGTGGAAAAATGCTCAATTACTGTACTGGTCTGGTCACAGTAAGATCAGACAGTTTCGAAGTCGTCGTGGCCTAACGGATAAGACGTCCGGCGCATTCGTGTTGAGCGATGCACCGGTGTTCGAATCTCAGGCAAGTACCAATTTTTCTGATGAAATACGTACTCGACAAATGTTCACGATTGACTTCCACGGTGAAGGAATAACATCGTGTAATCAAAATGAATTTATAATAATTTGCATAATTACTGGTGGTAGGACCTCTTGTGAGTCCGCGAGGGTGGGTACCACCACCCTTTTTTTTTTTTTTTCGGGTAGAGGGCCGAACCTCCTACGAGGTACCCGCACAAAAGGGGCGCGCGCGGGTATGTAAGACTCAACGGTCTGCATGGTGTTGTGAGCAGACCGCGGGCCCAAGGATTTTAGGACCCACCCACTAAACGACTTCCCTGCACTCTAACACCCGACGTCCGATCCCCTCCGAGGTCAGAACCCGGATGAGGTAGGGGGGCTACCGCGGTCAATACTACAACCAGACGGCGCGGCTCATCCCAAGGACGCCCAGCCGACGGAGCCTTCGAGGCGAATCGAAGGCTCTGAAACGTCGGCGGTCTCGGTACGGCAGCCCGTCGGGTCGCCCAGACGGTGCCGCTGGTGTCCCGGAATACCCCGCTGGACCAGGACCCGCCTGCCGGGTCGGGACGCGATACACCGTCGACCAGTCGCTCTATTCACTCCACGGCAGCGCGCTAGAGTGCTGGTAGCGCGCCGCGCGGCCTCACCCCCTCAAGTCGCCCCTTGACCTTCACCGGGGGGAGGGTACCACCACCCTGCCTATTTCTACCGTGAAGCAGTAATGCGTTTCGGTTTGAAGGGTGGGGCAGCCGTTGTAAACAGCAGCGTGGGGCAGCCGTTGTAACAAAAAATTGTTATCTAGACAAATTTTTTTTTTATTTTTTTTTTATTGCTTAGGACGAGCTCACAGCCCACCTGGTGTTAAGTGGTTACTGGAGCCCATAGACATCCACAACGTAAATGCGCCACCCACCTTGAGATACAAGTTCTAAGGCCTCAAGTATAGTTACAACGGCTGCCCCACCCTTCGAACCGAAACGCATTACTGCTTCACGGCAGAAATAGGCAGGGTGGTGGTACCCACCCGCGCGGACTCACAAGAGGTCCTACCACCAGTAATTACGCAAATTATAATTTTGCGGGTTTCATTTTGATTACACGATGTTATTCCTTCACCGTGGAAGTGAATCGTGAAGATTTGTTGAGTACGTACGACAATACTGGGACCATCCTCTTACGCACACGACACGTCCTACTTCGTCGCGTTTAAACTGACAATTGATTCCGTAACTGAATTTAGAACAGTGTAATCAGGAGCTTCTAAATTTGCTTCTGAATTCTGTCGACTAAATTCAGCCAAGTGTAATAAGTCTTTAAGCGGTAAGCGAATGATTGCGGCACGTAATACGAAATAATTTGACGTTTTGCGATCGGTCGCGAAACGTCGCACAGTGGGTCGATACTATGATTTTAGTGACTTAGGCACCAACTTTGTTTTTTTAAATTTTTCTTTATGTAGATAGATAGAGCTCGTTAATCTAAATAATAATTGTTTTAGGCAAAAATTACAAAAACTTTATAGTTTGGTCAGAAAAATGTGTTTTGTGATTTTTTTGTATGGAGCGGGTCACATTAAATTAAATTCCTGCTAAGTACCGCGAGGTCCCGCTTTGAAACTTTATTTTCCTTACACCTTGTCTAGTCTACTATCNTTACCAAAAGTTGAAACTTTATACTGTCCCATTTTTCTGGCGGACGAACCGACTGTGCATCTGTTTCTGGAGCGGTCGGCTTCTGCACGAAAATGAAGTTTTCGAAAGTTTTACGCCAATGTATCCAAGCTCTCGTACTAGAGCTATCTGACGGGTCGATATCAAACCTTTCAGGGCGGAGATATCTATCCATTTTTTTAATTTATTTAGCTTATTAAATTGAAATAAGAGAAAACCTTTACTGAATATAAGGTTTTAATAAGCTAAAATTAACAGTAAAATTTGCTTTGATTACATTAGATACATTGACAAATAACGAATAAAACAGATTGACAATGACGTCAACTTATGGCTGATAATTTCAACTAAGAAGTTTACATCAAGTACCATCTTGATTAAGGGACAAGTTTAAAAAGTGACACTTTTAATGTGTTTTCATGTTCACAGTGGTTCACAGCAGGTGCAGCAACAGGTCCATGTATGTAATCTATGGACAATCCCTATTTTGAAAGCTTAATTAAAACTTTTTGGCGGGAACGCGAAGAGTGAAGTTGTGTGATTTGTTTTATTTTGTCTATTTAGTGTTTCTTCAGGTTTAAATGTGTAATAACGGTAGTTTATTGACTGTTTAATATCTGTGAAAGTGTACAAATGTGAACAAAATGAAACAAAACCGCTGGACGTAACTTCTCGGGATCCTCCAAAAAGTCCACTGTAAAAGTCTTTCATTATATTTCATCCCATATCAACTCATTTCATTTTATTTCGTCCCAGTTGGTTAATGTCTCAAATTAATCATTTCATTTCATTTCTCTCCATATTATCATTTTTCATAAAAATAATGAATTAAAATTAAAATAAGACATGACCTAAAAGTCTTGGTTACCAGGTCATAAAATCCATTTAAAAAAAATTTGAATAGAAAGGTGCTTGAATGTTATTGTATTACATTATTTTAAATGGAAAATACGTAAAGACGCTTACAAATTTTTCATTAAAAAAATAAAGGCTTTTCAATGAAAGTTTCTAGTTTAAGTAGTATTTACAACTTTTAAGATAGATATTTATTTGTATCTTCAAACAATACAATGGAGCACAGCCCCTTAGACTTTGTAGCTCAATCATGTATGGATCTCACTGAAGCTCTAAGTAGTGCAAACAACGAAGCTGAACGTGACACTCTAATAAATAACCATATCAAGAAAGTATGGCCGTGCGTGGCACCAGTCGAAGACTTCAAAAAGAGTAAGAACTGAAATTGTTACTGCAATATTTAAACAATATAAACGACTAACAATATAAACTATATAATCCAAAATATATACTCAGGTAGTCATGATTAATTCATTAAAATCGTAATCATTAAAATACATTACACATCCCAGTGAATGCAGTTTTTCTTAGCGGAAGTATATTAACTTTTCCAGTACAAACAGACTTCAAACATATCTATAATATTGGTTTAGTCATAGAGCAACCCAGTTCTATCTAACAATAATAGAACATTTATATTTTCAAACTATTAAATTGATTGAAAATAGTCAAAAGGTTTTTAAGACTGAAATTGTTTAAACAATATGATGTTTATCAAAATTCTTTCATTTGTTTACAAAACTGAATAATTTTTTTTTTTTGGATGTCAAAATAGCACAAATTTTTCAGGTTTAGAGTGGATCAATCAAAATTCTTTCATTTGTTTACAAAACTGAATATTTTTTTTTTTTTGATGTCTAAATAGCACAAATGTTTCAGGTTTAGAGTGGATCAATGTTTCAGAACCAATAATTCTGTCGCAGCATTGCCTCAATAAGGTGGTAGTGTTGGACTTCTGGACTTATTGTTGTATAAACTGTTATCATGTTCTACCCGACCTGGCACATTTAGAAAAACTGTATACAGTTGAAAATGGACTTGTTGTAGTAAGTAATTATTTTACCAAAATATTTTCCATAAACAAAGTTTTTTTATGGCATTTGTTACTTGATTACACTTGCAGCAAGTTTGAAGCTTCTTACTGGTATCAAGTGGATACTGGAGGCCACAGACCATAATATGAATTTTGCCAAGTTGATATAATGAAGAATGATAACCAGTCCAGACGATGAAGTCGTCGTGGCCTAAGGGATAAGACGTCCGGTGCATACGTGTTGAGCTATGCACCTGTGTTCGAATGCCGGGCGGGTACCAATTTTTCTAATGAATTACGTACTCAACAAATGTTCACGATTGACTTCCACGGTGAAGGAATAACATCGTGTAATAAAAGTGAAACCCGCAAAATTATAATTTGCGTAATTACTGGTGGTAGGACCTCTTGTGAGTCCGCACAGGTAGGTACCACCACCCTGCCTATTTCTGCCGTGAAGCAGTAATGCGTTTTGGTTTCAAGGGTAGGGCAGCCGTTGTAATTATACTGAGTACTTATCATAATTCTGATATAATGTAGTGCTATTTCAAGTATGTATAGCTCATCTAATTTTAAGTAACCTTTCTCTGATAACTACTCTGGTCTTCATCCTCCAGTGGCATGTATTTTTAAGGTAGATGTAGATGTTTTTGTGTACTGCATCAATGGCAGTATAGTATTTGTTATTATTTTAAAGATTGGTGTACATTCAGCTAAATTCCTAAATGAAAAAGACTACAGTAAGGTTGCAGCTGCTGTTCAACGGTACAACATTCAGCATCCCGTTGTGAATGATGCTGAGAGTTCTGTTTGGGAAGCTCTTGGTATTAAGTGTTGGCCCACTATACTTATACTTGGTAAATATTAATAAATAGTAATAATAAATCAGATGGCTTAACATAAATTTTCATGACACATTTTCACTCTTAATTTGTTATTATTCTGAATTATAATACATAGTTCTAGCCTTTTATTTAATAGGCAGAAAATTGTATGAAACGGCTGACGGTAGAGGCTACTGAGGCTCATGAACATCACTAATGTTAGCGACACAGCCACCACATACTTTCTAGTGCATATTTTCAAAATAATTATATTTAGAGAATAAATTCACATAAGAACTATTAACCTTCGAGAAAACTAATTAAAAAACTAAATCACTACTTTTTAATGTGAAAACTAATAATAAAGTAGACAGTTGTAAGTACATAAACTTCCAGGTCTCGGTTGCAAACCATTATTTGTCTTTACTGGAGAAGGTCATAAAGATGAGCTGGTGATGTTTGTTGATGCAACATTAAAACATTTTTCATCACGGATATCAAATGCTGCATTGCCCATTGCAATTTCAAACCAAACCAAATCTAAAGAAGATGATGTTCTCTCATTTCCCAGTAAGGTAAATCTATACTAATATATAAATAAATCTGCAGTGGTTTTTATGGATGTTCTGTTATAACTACTGAACCATACATCCTTTTGACTTGAAACTTGTTATACATGTAGAAAATACATGTACTTAATGGATAGGCTAATATTTATATGAGTGTTGGACTCCTTACACCATGATCATGATGAGAATCTTTGTGGGGATGAGAAATAATAATGTTAATTTTAAATGCCCAGCGAAGTGGACAGGTACAGCTAGTAAGCTATAATTATTGGTAAAAAGGAAAACAAACATTCATATCAAAATATGTGTTAAACAATTATAAGTATTGATTTATTACTTAGTACTATTGCTTAGTATAAAAATAATCAATAAATCAATAATAAAATAATAATAAAATCCTTAGAAAAATATTAGTGTAGCTAAACATTGACATGTCACATGAAAATGATCTTTTCATTCCTCATAGCTGGCGCTGAATACATTCTACAAAGGTAGATCAGAAGAACCATTCCTAGCTATTGCTGATACGGGCCACCACCGTGTTCTGTTGACGGACTGTTCTGGAATCGTCTTACGTATCATTGGAGGACCAAAACCCGGATTTAAAGATGGAAGTATGTATTTGATGTGAAGCCGACAGAGTGCAGTGTATTAGTCTAATTAAGTTCAATAAGTAGGTAGATCTCTATATTGATTAGCGATTACAGCTGTATCCTTTCCTTTGGTATATAGCATACATTCTGTTATAAGGGTAGGAATTTCTGACCTGAATTCTTGTTCATACAGAGTTTGCCGAAGCCCAATTCAATACGCCCCAGGGTCTGTGCTGGCTGTCAAGTACAGTGCTAGCAGTCTGTGACACCAACAATCACGCGCTGCGAGCCATACACCTTGACGACGGTACCGTGGAGCTGCTGGCCGGGACGGGACAGCAGAGCGCGCATGGAGACCTAGGTCAGTCCAATTCACTGAATATGAATCGGGCAAAATTAACATGTTTTTCACATATTATCGTCTTTTCGCATTAAAATTGTACAATTTCCAAAAATATTCGAAATTGAGTTAATATGCGGAATCATTTGGTATCTATCACCAGTATTTTTCTAATAAATACTATCAAAAAAATATGTAGTTTAGCTTTAGTTTTTTTTTTTAGTTTACCTATGTTTTGATATTAACAAAGTTAATACATAATTTTATCTTACTTTAAAAGACAGATAATGTAACTGGTACAAAATACAAAAGAAATGTCGCAAAGATGATTATTAATATTAAAATATCACATGCTATAAAGCTTTAAAACACTCCTGTAAAATTCCTGGATATTAATAAAAACTATGGATTTTCCGTGGGTTTTAAACGTTTACTATTGAAATTTAAATGATTCTTCATGAGCATAGAGTGAAAATCTCACAAAATTGACAAAAAAATTGTGGGCCAATATTATATTGAGAACGGGGTAACTTTGCCAGTATAAGAGAACAGGCAATACAGTTTTGATGTATTTTTACATTTAAAGCCCTATGATAACATTTGATTTACACGAAAATACTGCACCTGAAAATACTGCATAGGAAAATGATTCATATTAGGAATAAAAAACACAATCGAATTTGTGAATCAAAAATACTTTGAACTTCAAAGTATTTATTTATACGATTTTGCTCCTTATTTGTCATGGGATACGGATTGAATTCCTATGCAAGTATTTTCAAATTTGAACACCGCGGCGTCGCGTACGGGGCTCAGCGCGTTGACGCACTTGACGCGCAAGGAGTGGGTCGCCGAGCCCGAGTATTTCCGATGAAATACGAATGCATGAAACGAAAATTAATGCACATGCCATCCGATCGGGTCGGGAACTCGTCAAACAAATAAGCTAACATAAACTGAAACAAAATTAGGAGCACAATTGCGTAAACATGCATTTAATAGCATAAAATATTAATACTCAAAAATCTTTGATACCAACAAATACATTCAAGTATTTTTAAAACCTGGTTTTTGACCCTGGTATTTTTCCGTACTTGTACTTAGAAACCCTGGTATTCAATTATGCAAGTACAATGTCTCACCGCTATTTTGCAGAGCTTGTTAGTGCCCATAAATGTCCGAATATAAATCTCATCCACGTTGAGACATAAAGGCTGAAATCAAAAATAAGTTATGGTATTTTAATTTTAACTACATATATTGTTTATTTCTCTCTCTCTCTCTCGCTTAGAGAACTACTTAAACGTATATTTACGAACTATTTAGGAGGTAAATGTCTCGGAATGCAACCGCTATCGTCGCCGTGGGACGTGGTCCTGTACAGCACCCCGGACCTCGACATGTCGGTGCGACCTCTCCTCCCGCCGCCCCGACCCCCGGGACAACCCGCAGACGCCGACAGAAACGACAAAAGCAACAAACCAGAGGCTACCGGTAAGATGTGCTCTTAAAATCAGTTTTAACTCAAAATACTGATTGTGATGTACTGAAGATATGCTCAAATAAATCGGCTCATTTTAAAAATGAACAATGTGAGTTTTTGTTCATGCAGTATGCGCGTTGATTATCCGATTTAGTTTAGTTTATTTTATTTATTTAATTTACAGATTTTGCATCCATATTACATTCTGTTAACAATAACTACAATTTCGGAATAAAAAAAAAAAAAAAAAAAACAAAAAAAAAAATGAATGTCACAACTACCTTAACCTAAAGGCTGGTTTGGATCCAAAGTGCTCAACATGCACACCTGTCCAAGGTTGCATTATATGGGCAGTCCAGATCCAACCACGAGGCGAATAGCCGCAGGTAGCTTTTGTGACTGACCCACACGCGGCCAATCAGGGAAGCGGTTCGTTTACGAATGATTGCTGCGAAGCTATCTATTAGGGATAGTTGACTAAATAATTGATGGTCTTAGATGATTTTCAGCCGCAGTGGACTAGAGTAGGAGGTCTTCAACAATTAACAATAATATTTCTGAATTGTATGGCAAGTCAACAGCCCGATAGTCGCGAGCTAGAGATATTTTTACAATTTAAAGGAAAACGTTGTATTCGCGAATCCATGTGCCTCGACATGAGCCAATGAGTCCGAGCGAATGGACCACCGTCTCAACAAAATAATAGCAAACATGAAAAAAGTATTTGAAAAACTTCAAGTCGTCCTACTATTATAACATGAAAATTTTAACACATATTAAGAACACAAATTATCGTGATTAGGATAAAGCTCTTAAAGCGTTTTTCTTTTTTAAACTCTTACCAGGTTTGTTGAAGTTAGAAAGGCCTCCGAGCCACTAACAGTCCCTCCATTAAAAATAAAAAGTTTTAAAATCTGTATATTTTTATTTTAGATAAAGAGAAGAAGGATGAAAAGCGACGCGTACTCGTGATAGCTTGCGCCGGCTGCCATCAGATCTGGGCGCTGTTCCTGGACACTACCATATGGTGGAAATACAAAACGTATACTGAAGGTGAGACCTATAGATATGCGTTATTTTTAAGGAATTTTCTCATAGCTGTTGGCAGATAATTAAAATTCATTCAACTATAATCTGTGGAGGCATACGACCAAAGGAAAGATCTTCCATCAAGCGACTGTATATACTGTGTTACTTATAACATTTTGTATTCAAATTTAACAATATTTGCTGTGTATGTGCATTACTATAATTCTCGTGTTGTATTTATTATTTTGGCTGTAGAACAGCCACACACAACACACTCATCACTTTTAATTATTATTCTCATAATCCTCTCGCAGGTCTGCTGGAAGAGATATCTTAAAGAAATAAGCATTGCCTTTGTACATAATTGTCCTATTACTCTGTACTATGTCTTTTTTTTGTGTACATAAATAAATAAATAAAAATAAATAAAATGTAATTTATCGGTAGACCGTCGATCGGCGGTTCCAATGTTGTTGTTCGGAACTTGTATATATCCAAACGCTTATCTTAAAATCGAGATAAATCGAGATTCAGGTATCTTATCAAATATCTTGTGGCTCAAGAATTTGAAACTTTGTACTGGTATATTTGCCTTCATAAAAATACTTCCTTCCTACACATGAGGTCGAAGTCTTGTTTGTGTTTTATAAAGGCTGTCTCATCCTTTAGACCCGAACGCATTTGGAATTATCAATAATGTCAGCAGCGCCCTGAGCCCACTGAGTTTCTCGCCGGATTTTCTCGGTGGGTGAGTGTTTTAGATCCGGTGCTAGATTCTGCAAAGGATTGCTCTTGCTAGGGCTAGTGTTAGCAACGTCGTCAGATTTGAGCCCCGTGAGCTCACCTACTGGTTAAGGCAACGCTGAAACTGTCTCTCATTTTTTGTGTTCCTACCTATGCTGATAGCCTTGACCCACCACAACCCGATGCTTGAGGTGGGTCTCTTAAGACCATTGGCTTAAGTACGAACCAACCCCCCCCCCCGTAATTGTTTTTAAATTTCCCCCCGTCGTGTCCAGGTACGTGCGCGTGCATAGCGGGGTCGGGCGCGGAGGCGGCGCGGAACAGCGCATACCCCAACACGGCGGCCTTCGCGCAGCCCGGGGGACTCACCATCAGGAACGGTGCGTACCGCTGTACTGGCAACCCAGTTTATTTCTCTTTAGAGGTCGCTTGTAGGGTCACCAGTGCCGGGCGACACAATAAGGAGTCCGTAATAGGATGGAGAGTTTATTTCCTATTTACACAGTAATTTTTTTTATTGATCGTGTAGGCAAACTAGCATACAGTCCATCTGATGGTGAGTGGCTACCGTCGCCCATGGACTTCAGCAATGCCAAGGACAGAGCCAAACCGTTGCCTACCGTTAGGCACACACAAGCCTCGTTTGAAGAAGGATTTTAGAAGGAGAAAGTATGGAGAACAGTAGGCACAGATAAAGCGGTAGGAAGTCCAAGAGCAATATTAAACATAGGTACAAGCAACAGATCGCAACAAAGGAAACTGTACTATAGAATACGTAAATAAATATGATATATAATATTAATAATTGAGTAGGTGTATTGTAAATTAATAAATTATATGAATAAATATAGTAGGAACACCTACATTCCCCATCACTAGTTGTAGCATCTGATCACTACTAGGCTGCACTAAAAGTATCGGGAATGGAATATTTCCACTGTTCCTGTCGTATTAAAACCTTTTTAATTGAAAACTTCTTGGTTTTAAAAATCGAATACCATTTATTTATTCAAAAAAAGATTCTCGGTCTTGTCACGAGGTTTTGTCAAACTTGTTTAGTCGTTGAGAAAATGGAATTGACTCGAGAAAATTCAAGAGCGATGATTTATTATGACTTTCGAAGTGGTTTAACACAAAAACAGTGTGTTGACCGGATGATTTCTGCATTTGGTGATGAAGCCCCATCCAAAACCACAATTTATCGCTGGTTTGCTGAGTTTCAACGTGGACGTGTCAAGCTCAGTGATGATCCCCGTCAAGGTCGTCCAAAAACTGCAGTCACCCAAGAAAACGTTGATGCTGTGCGTAAGCTGATTGAGGAAGATCGACATGTGACATACCGCGAAATTCAGGCAACTTTAGACATTGGCATGAGTCAAATACAAATAATCTTGCATGAACAATTAGGTGTAAAAAAGTTGTTTTCCCGATGGATACCGCATTCGCTCTGTGAAGAGCAAAAAGCGGCTCGCGTTACTTGGTGCGTCAGAACTCTCGAAAGATTCCACGCAGGATCCTCAAATGCTGTATACAACATTGTATCAGGTGACGAATCCTGGATATACGCGTACGAACCCGAAACAAAAAACCAGTCACGAGTTTGGGTGTTCGAAAATGAGTTAAAGCCAACAAAAATTGTTCGTTCACGGAGTGTTGCAAAAAAAATGGTGGCCACGTTTGTCTCCAAAACCGGCCATGTTACGACTATTCCTCTTGAGGGACAAAGAACGGTTAATGCAGAATGGTATGCTAGCATTTGTTTGCCACAGGTCGTTTCTGAACTCCGTAAAGAGAACTGCAACCGCCGCATCATCCTCCATCACGACAATGCGAGTTCTCACACCGCGCACAGAACAAAAGAGTTTTTAGAGCAAGAAAACATAGAATTATTAGACCATCCGCCGTACAGCCCCGACCTAAGCCCTAATGATTTCTATACTTTCTATACTTTCCCTTAAATAAAGTATAAATTGTGTGGACAGAGATTTTCATCACCTGAAGAAGCTGTGGACACCTACAAAACGGCCATTTTGGAGACCCCAACTTCCGAATGGAATGGTTGCTTCAATAATTGGTTCCATCGTATGGAAAAATGTGTCAAATTTCGCGGAGAATACTTCGAAAAGCAATAAATACATTTTTAAATAGTAATGTTGTGTCACTTCGTTAATTCCCGAAATTTTCAGTGCCGCCCTCGTATCACGCATAATACCTTATCTTTTTCCTTCCTAAGCGCGCAATACGATGTTTCTCAAACTTGGAAAAAAATCGTATCGACGACTTGACATCGAACGCTCGTATGAGAAACGAATTTGACCCTGTCTAGAGTCTCAGTAATAGAGAATTAATTCGTAAGTGTGTAGCAAACTCACGAACAAACGTAATCGTTTAAAAGCTGCGTAATTATCGTGATTGTATTGCGTGTTGCGTATAATAATAATAATAATAATAATATAGCCTTTTATTCAGATCCATATAACAATTATATGACTAATCTAGCCTATTATTTGATTTTTTCTTATTTTCCGGAGATCTGTTTGCCAATCGACAAAGGCCTCCTCCAACCTTTTCCACTCATGTCTTTCTTGAGCCACTCTGTTCCATGTGACGCCTGCCACTTGTCTTATCCCATCTTTTTTGCGGTCTACCTTTTTTCCTTTTGCTTTCTCTAGGATACCATCGTGTCACAATTTTGCTCCATTTATCTTTACCTCTAACCATATGCCCCGCCCGTATGCCCAACCCGGGCGTGTTGCGTATAATGAAATGTAAACAAATAATTTACTATACAACGTCAGTTCTTAAACCCTGAAAATTGTGTATTTTCGTGTTTAATAAAGCGTTTTTGAAGTACAATACATTAATGGTACTGGTGGTAGGACGTCTTGTGAGTTCGCACGGGTACGTATAGTATGTAGTTGAATATCGTATCAACAGTATCGTGTAACCACAAATTGCAGAGATTTGGAATTTTCAGCTTCATTGATTATTGGTGTATATAATTATGTAGTTGTAATCGTTCACAGGTTCAAATCCGGAAATGTTCATAGCGGATTCGGAGAGCTCCTCAATAAGACGACTTGCATTAAATACTGGTCAGGTGTCCACGTTGTGCGGCGGGGACCGTAATCCCCTGGTGAGTATACGTTTTTTTTTTTTTACGGGATTTTGGTCTTTACAATAGTCCAATTGTTTTATTTATTCGTTTTTCTGTATATATAGATTGAATCGAATTGATTAAAATAACTTCAAACTATAATAGGACGTGTAGTGGTATCTATGATGGAATTCTTTCAATTTAAAATGTACTAATTGAAATCATGGTTACTCTATTTAATGCTTCCAATGTCGAGTATTTGTTAAGGTCAAGTTGATATCCGATTTAAACGTAATATTATGTGTTTAAAGGTAGAATAATGAATACAATCGGTGTTGACTGTTTATTTATTTATTACACTTCATGTAAAATTTACATTGGCTGACATAATGCCTAACAGCCTGGCCACGGGACATTCGCCGATGCGAATATTCGCGCGGTGCGAACGGCGAAGCGTCTAGCGACTAAAACAAGCGCATAGAAATGTACCTAACAAGCCACGCGCACCGGCGACCGGCGAAGCGACCGGCGAAATGTACCGAGCGAATCGCGCGATGCGGCGGGCGAGCAAAACAAATGCATGAATACGGACGGCGCGAGCCACGGAGTCGAGCGGTAGTCGCGGCGAATAGTGCAGTGATTAAATGAGTTTAGTTGTTTTCGCCGCGAAAAATTAACGCCGAAATTTTTATATTTTTTATTTATTTTTTATTTTATATTTTTAAAGTCGTCGTGGCCTAACGGACGTCCGGTGCAATCGTGTTGAGCGATGCACCGGTGTTCGAATATCAGGCGGGTACCAATTTTTGTAATGAAATACGTACTCAACAACACTCAACGTTCACGATTGATTTCCACGGTGAAGGAATAACATCGTGTGATAAAAATGAAATCTTCAAAATAATAATTTGCGTAATTACTGGTGGTAGGACCTCTTGTGAGTCTACACGGGTGGGTACTACCACCCTGCCTATTTCTGCCGTGAAGTAGTAATGCGTTTCGGTTTGAAGGGTGAGGCAGCCATTATAACTATACTTGAGACCTTAGAACTTATATCTCAAGGTGGGTGGCGCATTTACGTTGTGGATGTCTATGGGCTCCAGTAACCACTTAACACAAGGTGGGCTGTGAGCTCGTCCACCCATCTAAGCAATAAAAAAATAAAATAGCTGAAATACTAGCTAGACCAGCTATTTGGAAGTCTAGCCACCCAAAGTATTTCTCGTACTTCTTGTGGAATTCTCCATCTATAGGTATACTCCGATTCTTATTCAAATCATGTACTTCACAATCTTTTCCAAATAATAGGTCCTGAACCAAAAAACTATTAATTTGTAAGCAATATCGAGATAATTTCGATATAGACATTTCGCTGTCGGACTTCCTTACTAGTCGCGGCGGCGAACGTGAGTACCCGTGGCCTGCAAACGGTGCTGCGCGAATGGTCGCCTCGCCCACCGCTTCGCTGTTCGCACCGCCGATCCCCGTGGCCAGGCCGTAAGGCATTCTCTACCAGTCAACCAAAGGTAGTGCAGAGTAAATAGTGGTAGGTTTAATTAAATTTATATTAAGTTACAAATATATACACATATACATATACACATACATATACATACACATTTTTTTTTATTTCTTAGATAGGTGGACGATCTCACAGCCCACCTGGTGTTAAGTGGTTACTGAAGCCCATAGACATCTACAACGTAAATACGCCACCCATCTTGAGATATAAGTTCTAAGATCTCAGTATAGTTACAACGGCTGCCCCGCCCTTCAAACCGAAACGCATTACTGCTTCACGGCAGAAATAGGCAGGGTGGTGGTACCCACCCGCGCGGACTCACAAGAGGTCCTACCACCAGTAAACACATATACACGTTTATCGTTTTCAGAATCTGTTTGCGTTCGGTGACGTCGACGAGATAGGAGTAGACGCCAAGTTTCAGCATCCGCTGGCCGTCGCTTATTGCGAGACCTCCAAAGTTCTGTACGTGGCCGATACGTACAATCACAAAATCAAGAAAGTAGACATCGGCCTACAGAAGGTGACGTCACTGAACCCGACCAAGATCGAAACGACGGAGCCGGCGCAGTTCAACGAACCCTCCGGAATATCGATCAGTCCCGACGGGAAATATCTATACGTGGCCGACACGAACAATCACAGCGTTAGAATCGTTAATCTAGTTAAGAACGTTTGTCAGGACCTGAAGGTGCGCCTCGCCGAGCCCAAGTTCACGGAGCCGGAGAACTTGATACTGTACAAGAGCGATCTCTTCGTGAACAGGAAATGTGGCAGCTTAATCATATATTTCAATGTCAGCTTGGACGTTGATATAAAGAATGTTAAGTTCACACCTGGGGCGCCGCAGAATTGGCAAATCTGCGTCCGAGACAGCAACAATAAGGACGTGACGCTCGACGACTTCGATTTCGTCGGCTGCTCCAACAAAGGCTCGAAGCTCCCCGGCCGAGTCGATATGAAACTAAAGCAGAGAACCGATAAGACTCATTATCGCTTGTACCTCAGTTTCCATACGTCATTGTGCGACGCGTCGGTCTGTTTCTCTCACACGTTCACGATACGGTCCACGATTTTGGTTCGTGACTCCGTCAAAATGATCGAGTCGTACAAGATCACTTGTAAAGTGAATCCCGTCAATCGTGACAGTAGAACTGATAAAACTGCCTCTTAAATAAATGAGTGACTGATTTTTTGTATGTACCCTTTGAAGATTATTTTAATTTCACACAATCACCGAAAGTTACCTGTGTAAAACGTTACATTTGCAATAAATAAATATTTTAATACTAATGTAATTTAACGAATACTCCCAAGTATGGTTTGTTCAATAAAACTGTTTTTTAAGTACTTTTTTTAGTTTTTTTAATTCACATCAGCAAAAAATACAAGGAGGCCTTACTACGCAGTTAGTTAACTTTCGGATTGCAAGGTAGGCAGAAAATATCATTTTTAATATCATTTTCTATAATATCATATCATAAAATATGGGGCAAATTTACATTTATAAATATAAAGGCGCTCAGTAGCAACAATTTTGCCCAAAAAAAAGCATGATTTTAAAATTAATGATTTCAGGGGTAGATTGAGTATCGTCAGCTTCCACCATCGTCATTAATTTGTCACGATTTACTTTAATTTTCTGCCACGAAGTTTATTTTTTAAATCAAATTTCCATGTCGGCAGCATTCAAACCAATAAAGAGTTGTGGGTTCGTTTGTAGTGTTCACTCCTTACACGTCATTAATGTTGTGAACCGTTTGCAGCATTGCTACCAATTGCTACCGCAATGATTGCCCACTGAGTTTCTCGCCGGATCTTCTCAGTGGGTCGCGTTTCCGATCCGGTGGTAGATTCTGCGAAGCACTGCTCTCGCTAGGGCCAGTATTAGCAACACTCCCCGTTTAAGCCCCGTGAGATTATCTACACGTGAAGGAGAAGCTGAAATAACCCCTCAAGGCTGATAGCCTTGCATAGGTAGGGAAAAAAAACCGCAATGAAACTCGTTTTCCATAATTGTTATCGTATCTGTATTGATGAAAAATATACAAATGTAGAGAAAACAAAACACTATTCAATAAACAATGACTGAATGTCAAAATACAATTCCATATTTTTTTAATAAAATTCAATTGAATTTAGAATTTATTGCCAGCCATAGATAAATTACGTATTTAATGGCGAGTATTGTAAAATGGCAATTTAATATGTAAAGACATATTGTTTGGATATTTATTCTCGATCACTCAAAAAAAACTGAGCAGATTTGGATGAAATTTTACACCAATATTATTTATTAATTTTATTAACATGTAGCATTATCATGGCAAATGATATAACCCAGGTATCGCGTGGTGTACCTTCTATAATAAATAAGACGGCTAGTTCGTGATTTTTCCATCGCTGGTTCTTGATTTTACGTACCAACGGATCTACAAATCAACTGGTAGTTTACGGATCAAAGAGCGAGCGAATTTATCGTTATTTATCAATTACAAATTGAACGCTGATAAAATGGCGGGATACGTTTAGTTATCTATAGAATCGGAATTTTCGACAATAGTCTATTCAACCAAAAAATCAAACCAATGTATCAATATCATAAACAACTAAAGATACATAAATGCTATTTCCAAGATACGTCAGTAAAGGGGTATTGGTGGAAAGCTGCCTTGACATTTTACGTTAGAAGGAAACAAAAAAAAAATACCAATTTGTTTTTTATGAGTACACGACTACGCTGACCTTAAACAAGGGCACCAGTCATCGCAGGAGACTCAAAATGCCGTTGGCGAGAAAAATATTGCAGTTATTTTGTACTTATCTTACCTAAATGTTTTATTACACTATAAATGTATTTTTATTGCTGTTGAAAGGTAAACGAGGTCGTAGTCCATCTGGTGCTAAGCAGGGCTGCACGGCTATATTACAGACCACGCAGAGTGAATGCCTGTCTACTTTTTTTTTATTCCTATCTAAGCTTGAGAGGCTATTTCAGCGTAATCTTAACTAGTAGGTGAGCTGACGGGGCTCAATCCTGACGACGTTGCTAACACGAACCCTAGCAAGAGCGGTGCTTCGAGAATCTACCACCGGATCGGAAACGCGACCCACTGAGAAGATCCGGCGAGAAACTCAGTGGGCTGTGTCTGTGGGTTAATTTGACGAGAACGATGACCGGGCCTGTCTACTTTAAGACATGAGGTTTATATACAAATTGCATGGCAATGACAACTATACCACATGACTGTTGCAAGACAGAAATAGAGAAGATTATATTAGTGATATTGATCCGTCTGGATCTGATATATTGCCATCTGCAACTTGCGTGTTGAGTGATGTCTACTAAGTTTCTCGTAGGATCTCAGTTTGTCGCGATTCCGATCTGTTAGTAGATTCATTCGCGAAGCAGCTGTCCTTGATCTGTTACGTTTCCTTTAGAGGCACTCGGGTGGCTGTTCGCAAATCTCACCCCTCGTGGTTGAGCCCGTGTTCGCTTATCTGCCCTGGTGAAGCTGTAAACGCCTCTGGGCCACCATTAATCCACCTTGATAAAAAAAAAAACTCGGGAAAACCGAAGAATACTCTATAGGACATTTTTATTACGCTCATGAACATGACCCGTTCCGTTTGTTATATCTGTTGTAGTAGGTAAATACGACAGTGTAATCGCTGGTTCGTGATAAGTGGACTTATAGTTTATTTACTTGAGAATCACACAAGGAGCTCTTTATACCGGGAAAATGCAACGGTGAAACCGCGGTGCACTACTAGTTAACACGTTGACTGCCATGTAGGCCACCGGTGCCCTACGCGGCGCACTGAAGTAACTATGTCGATTTCTCTCTTTCTTCTTCTTACTAAGGCACCGGAATATCTAGTAGACTCTGGGAAAGACGAATCCGAAGATACTGACAATGAATCTATTTCTAAGACACCTAAAAGACTAAAAAATACATTATCAAACAAAAGAAGGTAAAGTTAGGCAACCCAGTCGCTTAGTAACAGAAATCGACATAAGTACTTCAGTGCGCCGCGTAGGGCAGCGGTGACCTACATGGCAGTCAACGTGTTAATCAGTTAATGCAATTATTTAATTTCATGCGAAACACGTTTGCACGACCTTGAACAATGACTTCAATGTTAATTTGTATGGGACAAATTCAATACCAATACTGACTGTGGAAATGCGACGGAACATTTCATTTTAATCCCCACAAAAAAACTCAAGTGGTTAAGAATTTTATTAGTCGATTATAATTATTTCTTAAATCACGTATACCTAATATTGACTTACAATCTGTACTAAGACTTAAATTACTCAAGACTTTTTTTACGGTTCCTTATTACGTAAATTTCTAGTTTTTGCAGGTCATTTTACAATACGATTTTGTGCCTTCGTCCTGGTATTCATTCATTCGTAAGCATCTGTGACGTAATATATAATTATTTTTAAAAATAGAAACGTGTAGGTAACAACGACCGGTGCGTTTTTGTATCTTAAGGTTAATGGATATTAAATAAAGGATACGATAGAAATAAGTCGAAAATGTGAACTAGTTTTCTGAATATGGTCTTCCATTAACAAAACATATTTATTTAATATTTGAAGTGTTTCGTCAACTAACACTTCATTTAAAACACCCAACAAGTAATTGACAAAAACACAAGTAAGTAAAAAGGTTTGGAATATTATATTATCTATTTTTTTTCTTTCTTACTTTTAATTAACTAAATGTAACTCGAGTTTCTCGATCAATTATAAAACTTAAATAACAAGTGCCTTCCGCAATAGTAATCGATTTAAAAATATATTTCATATAACCTCAGTACATACATATCTTGTCTCTAAGGTCGACACATAAATCACTACAGTGTGATGAGCGGCCGCATCCGATCACGATGCGTTGCGTTTCGTTATATACAATTGAAATTGAACGAGTAGATTTTTGTATGTTGCAGGATTTGTTAACAGCTATTACGATAATATGTGAACAGTTGAAGACGATCTCATTATAAAATAAAACCAAATGATACCACAACACTACTTTACTGCTTTACTGGTAGTAGGACCTCTTGTGAGTCCGCACGGGTAGGTACCACCACCCCGTCTATTTCTGCCGTGAAGCAGTAATGCGCTTCGGTTTGAAGGGTCGGGCAGCCGTTTTAATTGTACTGAGACGTTAGAACTTATAGCTCAAGGTGGGTGGCGCATTTACGTTGTAGCTAGATGCATGTATACCTTTACGAACAAAAAAACGCCGTGCTTAATTGAGAATATTGCGTGTTTTTTACATGATATAAGATCGAATTACTGCTAAGACAGATACGCCTAAAGCCGACTTCATAGAAAGCTGCGTTGTCTGTGGATATCAGCACTACCAGCCGAACAACCGAACCTAACCTAACGTAAGCATAGCTTTGCAATCAAAAGAGAGTTTTCTCACGGATCGCTTGGAACCTCTGGGTCTGCGGAGGGACTTCGGTTCCCTCTTTATTTTGTACCGTATGTTCCATGGGGAGTGCTCTGAGGAGTTGTTCGAGATGATACCGGCATCTCGTTTTTACCATCGCACCGCCCGCCACCGGAGTAGAGTTCATCCATACTACCTGGAGCCACTGCGGTCATCCACAGTGCGTTTCCAGAAGTCTTTTTTGCCACGTACCATTCGGCTATGGAATGAGCTCCCCTCCACGGTGTTTCCCGAGCGCTATGACATGTCCTTCTTCAAACGAGGCTTGTGGAGATTATTAAGCGGTAGGCAGCAGCTTGGCTCTGCCCCTGGCATTGCTGAAGTCCATGGGCGACGGTAACCACTCACCATCAGGTGGGCCGCATGCTAGTCTGCCTACAAGGGCAAACAAAAAAGTTTTTTTCAAATCATATTGAAAAGTTGACGTGTGATTAGGTAGGTGGATATTAGTAGTGATGAACCTTAGAGATCAATATTGCTGATTGACAAATATTGCAGATACTGCACCGCCCGATCAATATTTATTCCTTTCGATGGAAGATGGTCTGGTATGTTCCCTCACATACACTTAGTCTTCAAATAATATCTTCATTCGTGAATTGCCCCAATAAGCGAACATTTCTGTCATCAAGTTATTCGAACTCCGCCAGAAAAATGGAAAAAGTCGTGCCTAGTAACTGGCAATACTTTGAATGATTAATAGCAATACTTTGATTTTTTTAATTAATATATAGGCATTTATTCATTTAAAAAAAAGCGAGAACTTAGTTGCGCATTTAATATTAATCTGCTTATCTTTGTAACTGGAATAGCAAAAGTGTGTTTAAATGTTGCACC